GAAAAAGGTAGATAAAAGCAGATCTTTCGATATGAGTCCTCTATTGATCTTTGAGCAAATTCTCCAAGCGAACACGTTGTTGATGAGATCGGTCTTGGCAATGGATTTGGTTCGGACCGTGCACTGACCACGTAAACAATTTTGTACGATGTCAAAGAAGTGATCCGTGTCCTCAAGAAGCACAATTCGTTTGAGTGCCCGAATGTCCTGCTCAGTCAGTAACGACATGAGAGGCGGTAAAACAAGAGTTCCGTGGCTAAGCGAGCACCGTATGTGCAGTCTTCGGACAAAATATTTCTGCACAGATTCAATTTTGCTTATGTGCTTCGCTTTGAATGGGAGCCACACGGGGCAACAGTACAAGAACTTCGAAACAATTAACGCCTGATACAATCGGATGTAAAATTCCGGGCACTTAACTATAAAACAGCGAAATATTGAGTTGACTAGGACTCGAGAAGATTTAACAATGATATCGATGCGTTCGTCAAAATTAAGATCAGCTGAGATGACGACTCCAAGGTCACGAATCGAGCTGACTGTCGGGAGCTGTTGTGTTCCAATCGCGTAGCATATTCTACTGGGAGATTGGTCCGGTTTAGCCAACACTGCACACTTTGAAGCAGACAGGAGCATGCGGTTATCGGCGCACCAACGCTCTACCCCGTCAATTCCGGCCTGTATAGTGGAACAGTCGTGCGAATCGAGTGTAGGGCCGAATATCTTGAGATCATCAGCGTAAAGGAGGAAACCAAGGGACGGGGGCAGGTAGAGGGAAATGTCCAACACGAAGATCACCCAGAGAAGAGGGGAGAGAGAACCCCCTTGTGGAACCTCCGACGAGTTTACCCAATAGACGCCCGTCAGACGCCGACTCCCAGCCATTCGGGATTGGAAACTCGCGACCGTCCCAGCGATTGGCACCGGATGAGCACCGGCTCGAAATGTCGTCGAATCAGACAGGGGATTCCCCTCGTTCAGATGCGGAAATCAAGCGCTCCTCCCATCGTCCGTACACCATATCCGCGATGAGGATCGGGATCGCAGGATAGGCCGAACGGGGCCGTGTCGCATGAATGCACACGCACATGTATTCCCCGAGTTCCCTGAGGCAAATACCGTAAATCTTCTATTAGAAGCCCGGGCTTCTATTTTTTCCGAGTGCCTTCTCAGAGGGGCTTGTATTAGAGAGGGGCTTCCATAGGAGGGGGGCTTATAATTACTCGAACCTCAGAACCCTGACGATCGAGTAATGGAGAACTACCGATGCTTTGAGATAGGAGAGAAATCTCGTCCATTCTTCGAGATGCACAGCTCTCCTGAGCCTTAGCCGAGCGCTACTGTGACCGCATGAGATACTAAACGAAGTTATTCGTCTGAGAAGCGACGTTTGCGTGTTTAGACACACAACAGTGTGGAACGAGAGTCTCCCGTAATCGTTGTGCACAGATTGAAGTTTCGACTCGGGTGACGTCGGTGCTCTCTCGGCTCGCCACGATGAGGCGGAAATCTTCCGGAATAGCACGGTTACGTGCGATCTTAGTAGCCCCTCTTCCGCCCCTCTTCGGACGGAAGAGGGGTTACTATTAGAGAGATGGGCTTCTATTGGAGAGGGGCTTCTATATTTACGAACCTTCCCGAGGGGGGGCTTGTATTGGGGAGGGGCTACTATTAGTAACAGGGCTTCTAATAGAAGATTTACGGTACTTATCTAGATATGAAGATTTGGCAGCGGAGGTGCGCAGCCGAACTCCGGTCCGCGGGTCTTCAGGACAGATAAGCCGATACTCAGCGCACGAACATCCACTGTAGAATCTTCTGGTTCGAAATACCTGAGGGAGATCGATCACCCGAATGGTATTGCACCCAAAGGAGCGCTAATGACACTGATGAGACGCTACCAGTGTGCGCGATCGAGGAGGATGCTGAGTACTCGCTCTGTTGTAAGACGAATCCACCTGATGCGACACGTCTATGTTACCTGCCATCTTAAGGCGAGTTCGGGGGGAAGCCGGCGTCACTGAATTCTTTCCATATTGGCTCCTGGGAGGAGCAAGCTCTTCCGCGAAATGACCACGCTCCGATTAAAGCTTGGCTTCGCAGATCAAAAAATTCGCGTAAGGAGAAGACATGACATGATCTCATTGAGATCGACCTCTAAATGACAGCAAGAGCTTTTTCATTCAATCTCTCCCTCACGGTCGGTCGTTTCCACCGTGTAGTTTCTGGCCCTCGTAATCGGAGCCGACTTCAGCCAAGGCCAAATC